TAATAATCAATACATTGAAACAAAATGATACATTTAAAAGTTATTTATTTGGGAAACACAAGATTGTCAAGAATGCATTTTCAAATTAATCATAAAAAGTATGCTATGAAAGTGATGCTCTCTTGGTACATCGTAGTTGTGAATTTAACCATCCATCATCCGGTCGGCTGCATCATGGCAGTTATCAAACAAAAGTTTGTAGTCCGTTCCTCCAGCCTTCACAAAAGCAGACACGGTCTTACTCCCACGGAAATTTTTTGTCTCAACAATCTGTCCATTAAAAAAAAGAAAAAAGATTAGCACAGACCAAAATGATCTTCTAAAGTTAAATGAAATTGCTAAGGTAGGCTATTAAATTCTAATTTCTAAAAATACATACACTACCGTTCAAAAGTTTGGGGTCAGTGAGAATTTTATTTTTATTTTTTGGAGGAAAGAAATCAATACTTTTATTTATCAAGGACAGTAAAGACATTTATAATGTTACAAAAGATTCTATTTCAAACAAATGCTGTTCTTTTGAACTTCCTATTCATCAAAGAATCCTAAAAAAAAAACTAAAAAAACTGTACAACTGACAGACCAACAACTGTTTCAACATTGATAATAATAATAAATGTTTCTTGAGTATCAAATCCTCATATTATACTGATTTGTGAAGGATCATTTGACACTGAAGACACTGACACTGGTGATGCCGGAAATTTAGCTTTGATCACAGGAATAAATTACACTTTACTATATATTCACACAGAAAACAGCTGATTTACACTGGAATAATATTTAATACTATAACTGATTTTTGTTGTATTTTTAATCAAATAAGCGCAGCCATGGTTAGCAGAAGAGAATTCTTTTAAAAGTATTTAAAATCATACTGACCCCAAACTTTTGAACGGTAGTGTACTATACAAGGACAAAATACAGTCTTTTATTTACAAGTAAGTTGCACGCATATCAGAGTTACAAAATGACTTGCCTTCCAGTTACTGCTCATATGACGCGCATCCACAACAACAGTCTGAGTTGAGATGCCATAGCCATCTCCCTTATGGACCAGCCATTTAGTGCCGTCTTCTAGAGTCACTCTAAAAGCAGAACCAGCAGAAGACATGCCTAATATTCAACACATTCTTTCCTCTTAGTATTCAAGTGTGATGTATTCACCATGTACTCAACACAATGCATGTGCTAATACAAAATAAAATGACAGTATCTTGATTACCTGACTCCAGAGTGGCTGATTTTGCCTACTTGGAAAGACATCCCCTCCAAAGGTCTAGTCATCCTCTCTGCCTTGAAAACTTTGGAGTTGTATAGTTTCCTTAGATCAGACATTTTGGAAAGGTCGTAACTGTAAGAGTTTCCGCTTCCTGAAAATTAAATGTGACAGAAAATATATCATTCATATGAAGGCACTATTGTTAACTTTAAAAGTAAGGAAGAAGGCAGAAAAACCTTAGTCCACCTTCTTGTTGGTTATTAAAATTAAATAAAATTAAACAATAGAGAAGGTGCAGTGTAGTGAATGTATTGCTAAGCAAAGTAAAAATGAACTAAATTTGTAAATATACCATTGCCCCATGAGGATTCAGCCACCATGGCCAACATGGCCAAGAAAAGCAGACCTAGTGTAGTCTTGAAGGACATCATGGTTCACAGCAAACTGAAGCTTGGTAGAAAACCAGAGCAATATTTATACTTTTTTGACCCTGTGATCCTCCCTTTACCAAAATCTTGCTTCACTGCTGATGTCATCTGAACAAACATGGCTTGTGATTTGGGAAAGAGCAGTATTGCACAATTTTAGCATGAAAGGTTATCGTTAGAGCTGTGCTGCTCAAGTTCTGAATTTCTTCCAGAGGTCTTGTTGTTCTTCTGGCAAATGGAAAGCGGGAAAAGCCAGAATTGCACAACTAAACTGGAAGAGAAAAAAAACAGCTGCTAAATTGAAAAAGAGCAAGGACACAGTAAGTGTTGGGGGGAAATAAATTCTTATTTATTAGACAAAGATATGCAACTGTATCATGTTATCCCTCTTAATTTTTACTTTTGGAAAAGAAAGTCATGTCTATTAACAGCTACCAAAATTAAGATATAAATTGAGATGTAAACTATAGTAAAGTATTTTTTGTTGTTATGTAGTATAATCATGGAAATTTTCAATACTCTACAAATGCTTACCACCAATACTAGTCACCCTCACAAATGTCTGATTCAGTGCCCTGGTTTGCAGAAGAAAAATTCCCATTTCGCCCCATTCCCATTCCCATTCTCATTTCGATGGACATTTCAGAAACCTGTAGTCTTAAAGGGATAGTTCACCCAAAATGAAAGTTTTGTCATCATTTACTTTTCCTCAAGTTGTTCCAAACCTGTATGAATTTCTTTTTTCTGCTGAACACAAAAGAAGATCATTTTAAGAATATGGGTAACCAAACATTTGATGGACCCATTGACTTCCATAATATGGAAGGCAATGGGGTCCCAATCGAGGGTGAGTAAATGATGACAGATTTTTTCATTTTTGGTTGAACTATCCGTTTAAGCTTTGATCCAACCCAATGTTTCCTAGACGAATAACATTGCAACATATCAACAGCAACAACTGGCAAATGATTACTAATCCCAGAAGGTGTGGTTTGAGTATTTCATGAAATGGCTTAACTCAGATTTTCACAACAGTGTCTAGAAGTTCAAAAACAGAAACCATTCAGCGGGCAGTTCTGTGGATGAAAATGCCTTGATTTGACAAGGTTTAGAGGAGAAGGCCCAGGCCGATTTGTCCGTATATTGTCCATATGCTTCCATTAGAGCCACTCAAACCCACTATCTAAAGATTTATGGGTTTTTATAATCCAACACTCTGTATGTTGCAGCATTACTCAGTCAGAAGTCACTTTTATATTTAAGAGCTGCACATAAAACTGCCATTAAAGCGACTAGTGTGCCACATAACCACAGAATAAATGTCAGTGTCACACAGAAAATTTAGATGGAGGCTTGTCTCACTATATGACACCCTGACAGAGGCGTATATCAAAAGCATATCCATACACAGCATAAAAAATTTACACATCAATTATACAAATTTCTCCCCTTATCGACGCTTAAAATGAGCAAGTTGGAATGGATAGGACGCTTGAAAAACATGGTGAAGAAGAGTCCTTTATATTCAAATTTCGTTATCGGCTTTGTGATGGTGGGACTTGAGCAACTTGTGGAGATAGACTTTGCATGCCCTTGTAATCCGAAGCTGAATCTGTTGTTCTCAATGGCGTATTTTGTAGTTCCCGCTCTCTTCTCCTTCGCACTTTTGTTTTATATTCAAAGCTCACAAATCAGCAATTATTCAAGCTGTTTGCACTGCGCTTTAGTTTGTCTTACTCCGGCCATTCTCTGGATAATGCTTCTGTTCTTTGATGGACAATACTTTGCCTGTGCAAAGACTTCATGGGAAGGACTTACGGTTCACACGGATATAACTGCTTCAACAACATGGTGTCAGCCTTTAATCGAACGTGACAACACCACAGAAAAGCAAATGACATTTTTTAACTATCGAAATAACTCTCAGGTGAGCATGATGATGAAATCAAGATACTGTTACAAATATGTTGTTTGATTAATCTATTTTTTTTTTATGAGTTGATTATTACCTGGTCCCAAGTTTTCATGTACTCATTTAAACATGAATATACTTCTTCAGCTAGTGGGACTGTGCATACTGCTCCTGATTTCATTGCCTCTGATCTGGATGGGGAGTAGGAGGTGGTACTACACACCAACAAGAACCAAAGAACTTGAAAATGAACAAATGGAAATGGTGGATTTGAGCCCATCACCCCCTCCTGACACTGTCTCTACAATTGGTGATCCCAGTAGAGATGAATTTTAACAGCTTTAAATAAAACATCACTGGACAGAAATTACTTAATTTTTTTCCACAAAACTCATGTTTTAAAATCAAGTCTTTTTGGTATGCATTTAATATAATGGAATAAATAAACTTTTAAAAAGAGTATTTTTCAATTAACTTGTAAAAGTTTGTATTTTTTAATTAGGCTATATATACACTGTAATTTGGTGTTGTTGCAACAGAAATAATCCCTTCTGAAGAAGTAAAGCATATTTTGCCTTTTTCTAATGAAACTGTGTCATATTGCATCTTTTACCTTTAGCTGCAATGTAGAGTAACAAACCACTTCCTGTCATTTACAGCAAGGACATGTTTACTTTGTTTTTGAATTACATTCACTTTGGATGGCATACTCAGATATTAAATCATTAGATAGCCTGAGAATGGTTTTCCATTTTGAAGAAAGGGGAAAAAATATATATATATATATATTTAAACATGTTTCTAAATTATATCCACTGAGAGACAGGGCAGAAATAGGGCAATTCTTGAACATGTGACTTCTCGAACTTAAAGCAAAACACATACCTCAAGACAAACGCATCCAACACTATATTACAGTTTATTAATGAATAAAAAACTGCTTTAAAATTTGACGTGAAGTAGTAAAGCGCACAATGACAAAGGAGATAACACAAACCCCTTTATTAACGATGCATAATACTCATGAGATCACAGGAATAAATCATAAACAAGAACATATAATGGACTGAACATAACAGGGAGTATAAATACAAGGCACACATAATGAAAGACAGTTGCAAATCATAAGTAACCAACATAACTATATTTCTGTTGTTATTTTTATGTTTATTTGATATTTTTTACAAGGCCTTTTATATGTACTGTAAGTACATATTACAATGTGCCATGTCACAGTTACTCATTCAAATTGTAGTATTATGGCACAAATTTATATTCAGTGCTTTTATTTATATTCATCATTTATATAAGTGCCATCAAAGTGACGAGAGCACAATCTCTTACAAAGGTTCAAACCTCTCAATCGCAACTCCGAGACACAGTCATGAAGATGTGAAAGGTGTGAATTTCACTTGCATTGATGCACAAAAGTAGTCAGCAATCACTTTCAGTTTTAGTCTGTACACCTTCCGACTAACAACACGCACAATGGGCAAGCAATGGGTAGCAGAGCTGAAAAAACAGCTGAAGAAGAGTCCTTTTTATTCAAATGCAATTATTGGCTTTTTAATGGTGGGACTTGAGAAACTCGTGGAGATGGATTTTGCATGTCCTTGTGATCCAAAGATGAACCTGATGTTTTCTGCTGCATATTTTGTGATTCCTGCTCTGTTTTCGAGCACACTCATGTTTTATATTCAAAGCCCACAATGCAACACAAAGCGTCTGCTCTCTATCGGGACCTGCATCATTCCAGCTGCTGTTTGGATCATGCTGCTGTTATTTGATGGACAATACTTTGCCTGTGCAAAAACCTCATGGGAAGGACTGACGGTTCACACTGATATATCCGCTTCAACAACGTGGTGTAAGCCTTTCATCAATCCTGACAACATCACTGAAAAGCAAATGAAATTTTTTCGCTTTCGAAATACTTCTCAGGTGAATGAGTCATTGGGTTATTCAATTCTGTTTGATGTGGATGAAGATGTAATTCTTTAAATAAAACCAAAGATTTTGTCATGCTTCAAATAACACAACTTTTCACTTCAGATATTTGCTCTGAGCATGCTGGGTTTAAGCTCTCTGCCTCTATTTGCCTTTGGATGTAAGAGGTGCTGCCACCAAGCAGAAACCAAAGAAACTGAAGCTGAACAAGTGGAAATGGGGGATCCTAGTCAACGTTCAACACCCCCTCCTGAAGGATCTTCATTAATAGAGGATGAAATCAGAGGTGCATCAGATCAGCTATAAATAAAGACACTTTTTTCAGATCTTGCAAAAAAAAAAAAAAAATTAAATGTTTAATATTCACTTTTAATGTTCACAAACCTCACATTTAAAATGTAACAAAGAAAAAAAGAATGGAAAAAAGTGTTTGCAGCACACCCATCCGCACCACAAATTACATGTTTTTTCAGAAGTCTTGACGTAATGAGAAACCACATCCTGTCATTCAGTGCTGCCTTATGTAACATTGTACAATATGCTGCTCACATCCACTGATTGTTATTTTTTATGCTTTCGGCTTGTGTACTGTCTTGTAAGTTTGGTAAATAAAAGAATACACACTGCGACTGATTTCTGTCACTTATAGCTACATTTTAAGGTATGTGAGGTTATAGGATGAAACTTAAGCATTAAGTCCACTTTGACCAACTGGCTTTGGTTGCAGTTGACCTTAAATGTTTCCTCAAGGCAGGAGGCTGATCTTCAATCAAATGACAGAAATAAAGACGTTTATTAATCCCTTAACAAGCACCCCCACAAGCCAAAAATGACCTACCCAAAATGAAATGGCTGCAGCTCTTGAACCCTTTGGTCTACAGGCATAATCCTGGTCATGTTTGAAAGCAGACATTTGACTATTTCTTGTAGTACAGGAACAGTTTTAGAGAAGCTCATATATACTGAAAAATGACTTCTTTTTTTTGTACGATACTTTCAAGGAAAATAACAAGAATTGAATTTGAGAGGTTTATAACATTTGAAATAAAGATAATGTTTTACTAAGTTCTGGTTTAAGTTTGAGGATGATTCTGATGAAACTGTATTTTCTGCAAGTAAAGCTTTTAGGTGTCTTTCCAAAATATTATTTATACCGTATTCTATATTGCGTCTGCTGGTTTATTTGTGATCACAGGCCCTCGCTATACAACATCCATTGGGGTTCCAAATGTGCACACACAAAAACTAAATTATGGGATCATCTGAATGAGTATGATGCAGCTTCAAAAATTCTTAGCGCTGCCTATCTTCTGGGATTTATGAATCGCAGGCAGATGATTCGCTGCAGATACATCACTCATATTTTGTGATCATATCCACACGTCTTGATTTTACTAAGTTAGACGCATTCCTGGAACAACACTCCTGTCCAAAATTTTAATATTAACCAAATCTCCACGTCTAAACCTAGTCCTATCCATAAGTTATCCCTTAAATCAGAGTGAAATATTAACTCTGTATGTATAACACTGATGCTGAAGCACCTAACCCTGGTAAGCCTAAACTTGACAGTGTTTACCTGAGAAATGCTAAGCAAAAATTTTTATAACAAATTATAAAAAGCTACAAATAATATATATCTGCCTCCTTATTTCACCGTTAGATCGGAATTGTTGTAAAAACTGTGCTTTAAAGGGTTAGTTCGCCCATTTAAGACATGAAGTTGTATGCAATCCTTACCAGCACTATAGTGCATACACACTGACCCACTCTGTTGTCACCTCCCTGGTCAGAGTTCTGGCCACTGGAAGTTTTTCAATAAAGTACTCCCGGTTATTTTCCGGGGCCACAAAACTGTGCGTTTTTACTTGAAAAAATGATTTGCGTTTCAAAGCTTGATTAATTTACCACACAAAAAACATGCCGGTCAAAATTCATACCTCAGTTTTAATCGGCACTATTTTCTATCCATTTCTATCAATCCGCGCTGCTGTCAACGTGCGCACGTTCCGATCAGCTGTTCCATAGTGTTTACACAATCGATTGACAACGACGTAAAAGGTATTAAATTAACAATGGTGCGAACTTGTAAATTCCCAGGCTGTGACCACAAGGATGTGCCGGGATCAAAGTTCAGATTCCATCGTTTTCCTGTTTCGAATATAACTATGAGACAGCTTTGGCTGGTTGCCATCGGCTACTCTGCGGGAGCTAAAATATCCAGAATAAAGGATTTTCGTGTGTGTAGTGCTCACTTCAGCGAAGACGATTACATCCCCAACCAAGGAGGAAAAGGAAAATTAAAGAGTTTTGCTGTACCAGTACCACGGGTAAGCCATTTATAACTTTATGATCCCATGTCTAAACTGTACGGTAAACAAGCTGATGTTTAGACTCCATTATAAAACACGTGAAAAGATGTCTAATATAAAAACAGTATATAGGGATATTGGTACAATTTGCTGAGAAAACTATTTGATTGAACACACACACAATTGAGGTTTTGTGTTGCAATCAGTAACATTGTCGTTGTGCTAAAATTACTTTCATCATCTGATCCGTCTGACATTGTGCTAAAATTGGTTTCATCATCAGAAGTTTCGCAGTCAGACATGTTGTCAGCGAGTCGCGCTATCAACAGCTGATCGGAACGTGCTCACTGTTGACGTTGACAGCAGCGCGGATTGATAGAAATGGATAGAAAATAGTGCCGATTAAAACTGAGGTATGAATTTTGACCGGCGTGTTTTTTGTGTGGTAAATTAATCAAGCTTTGAAACACAAATCATTTTTTCACGTAAAAACGCACAGTTTTGAGGCCCCGGAAACTAACCGGGAGTACTTTATTGAAAAACTTCCAGCGGCCAGAACTCTGACCAGGGAGGTGACAACAGAGTGGGTCAGTGTGTATGCACTATAGTGCTGGTAAGGATTGCATACAACTTCATGTCTTAAATGGGTGAACTAACCCTTTAAAGTGAGTTTTGAGAAAAAGCATTCATCTCATAAAATGATGTTTTATTAACAAAGTTTGGGAGGAACATGTTTAAATGATCTACCCAATCAGCACTTGAGGAGGTCTATATATACATAGATGAGCCACTTGTGTTTCTCGAAAGTTTTTCTGCATCCCTCCACCACCCCTGACTCCTCACTCTTGGCTGGTTCCTATCCCAGCCAGGTATAAGGGGGGAATACACCGTGTTCGGGCCAAATTCCGAGCTCGGAGCCCTCCAAATACGCATACTCTTTACTCAATCTGATTATTTGTAAGTTTGAACTTGTGAACTGTCATATTTGTTGGTAATTGTAGCTATAATGCACCTGTCACAGACTCCACCCTCACTCCAGCACAGCGTCCACCATCTCCGGAGTACTAAAGACATGCACCTGTCCCTCATCAGCACTGGTATCATTGTCTGGGCTGCGTTCCAGTCCAAAATTGTCATGCCCTTCACTCGCTAACTTGGATGTACGTTATTGCTTATGTTGCACAAGTGCCCACTACTGGCGGAAACTGCAATGGGCTTAATTGGAACGTCCTAAGCCTTTGATCACTTGAAATCAGCTATGGAGTTGATTTATTATTTAATTTTTTTCCCTTTAAGAATTTGTTTAATGCAGCATCCAAATTTATATAAAAGGGACGTTATCTTTGCATGTCCTGTTCGTCCTCCTCGTCCCACGGTAATTCCCAGTCCCCATATCAATTCTACACCACTCACCTCCATAGTCTGTCTTACTGCCTCTAATGTCTCTGTTACAGTCAGCGCCCTCATCGCCCTAAGCTCTGCTGTTATCTCAAGCTCAAGAAAATCTGCAACGAAACCCAATTCAAGGTTCACTCAATAAAGGGTATGCCGCTCAGCCGAGACCATGTGCACTACAGTATTGGCACCTAAAGCTGCAAATTGGTTTATTCCACTCCGAGTCCATTAACTAGCTGGTTCTGGAGAAATCCACCGCTGACGTCATCTTAGGGAGCCTCTGGGTCGTGAAACTTCATCCAGTGCTTTCCTGGACAACGGGAGAAGTCCTAAAGTGGGGCAATCACTATTTTCCCAACTGCTTTCTGGACCTACCTCTTAACATGTCTGACTTAACCAGTCAAGTCCATTCCTTTGTATTCCACTTCCATTAAAAGCCCGTTTGAAAAGCAGTCTGTAGACATTCCTAAATGTGTTACGCCCCAGTCACCACCACAGAGACCTGGCATGGGACTGCGCCATCAACATCATACCGGGTGAGTCAGTGAACAGAAGGCCATGGAGGAGAACATTCAGGATGCCCTCGATCAAGGATACATCTACTTCTCCTGCTTCCTTAAGTTTCTTTTTTGTGGCTAAGGCTTGAGGCCTTGAATCGACTACCAGGCCCTTAACAAGATCACAGCAAAATTCTGTTATCCACTTCCCCTCGTCCCAGCAGATCTGGAACAACTCTGGGGTGCCTCGGATTTTCACTAATCTGGACCTCTGGAGTGCTTATAACCTCATCCTTGAGGGGGAAGAGTGGAAGACCGGTTTTGTGACTCCTACTGGCCACTATGAGTAATACATGATGCTGTTTGGCCTGGTCATCATCCCCCCCTCCGTATTCCAGGATTTCATGCACGAGGTGCTCCGGGAGTAGCCTGGTAATACCAGACTCTGCTACTTCACTTTGCTTCGTACACAGAGTCTGGGATAGCATAATAGAGAAGTGTTTTCTCTCTCGCTAGGGGGCGCGTACTGAAGTTTAAAATCATTGGTTACCCGTAAGCCAATCAGATAAGTTTGTTTATGACGTATGTTATGCGCCGACACAGCCGCATCGAACCACAGACATCATGCATCGAACTCAAATCTATGATCGAACTTCCACTGTAAACACTTGATGATGCGAGCGAAATACCCGAGTGAACATGGCTGTAAACGACTTTTTTGATCTGTGAATGATGTAATAGAATGACTGCTGCGCTTGACAGGGCACAAACGAGCAGAGAGAGAGAGAGAGAGAGAGACCCGGCCGCGCGCGCGCACTCCCACGTCTACAAACAACACGAGCACTGTCTTGCTCTCTCTCCCTCGCGCATATTCATAAAAATCAATCGACAAGATAGTAAGAGGTCGGAAGACCGCGGTTTCACGTGGAGCATTTGGAGATTTTTAGAGATTATAGACTCTAGGAACCACATCTCAATGAACAACATCTCAACTATAAAGGCCTGTCTCATATAAGTTAGACGCCGATCTCAAGTACAAGCCGGTGCAGTTCGACGATTTGGGCAAATAAAAGCCCGGGCTATTATTTGAAGTTTTACGGTATTTAAGACCTGGAAAAGAAAAGAGACACTGACCTGTCAAAAGGCTCCCCAGTTTCTCGCTGACGATCGGTAATAGTTGATAAATTAAACTTTTCCCAAAGGGAGTAGGGCCACAACATCACCTCCATTCAAAATGTTTAATACACACTCTTCGTGTTCGGGCTTCAGTTTGCTAATGCCGGGAATATTCTCCACAACAGAGCGAATTGCATCCGCGTCTCCATATCAGCGGTCGTTTTCGATTTCCCTGACCTAATCTTAAACACGGCGCTTACCGACTACGTCACGGCTTTCAGCCCGCCCTCTGTTCGTTGATTGGCCAGGCTGTTTTCAGGCCGGTGGAAAACAGAAAGATAGGCTGCTATCTCAGACTGACTGCAGGAGCGAAATGAAATTAGCGGAAGTAGGAAGTCTGACGTAGTCAGGCTACTCCGGGAGTACCTCCAAGGGTTTGTACTCGTCTACATCGATGACATCTTGGTGTACTTTCGGACAATATACGAACATCGCCAGCACATCTCAGAGGTCCTCCAACACTTGCATGAATTTCACCTGTTTCTGAAGGCAGAAAAGTTTCTCTTTCATCAATCTTCTGTCAAGTTACTTGGTTATGAGATCAGCAAGAACGGCATCAAGATGGACGATGGGAAGGTATCTGCTATCCGTGACTGGCAGAGGTTGGCTGATAGTGGATGCCATTGTCTTGGCATACCATGTTATATTTAGAGGTTACAATGTGATATTTAATCTTTGTACATTTGTCTTGTGTTGTTTTGTTTGCAGAAATACACACACAAGAAGAGCTGAGGTTTCATATATTTAATCAAAACATTGGTTCATTGATTTTTAGTGGAAAAAATGTTAAACTTTAGTTTTAGAAACAATGGCAACTCCCTTAAAGGGATACTCCACCAGTTTTTCTTATTAAACTATGTTATTCCCTTAACTAAGACGAGTTGATACATACCTCTCTCGTCTCAGTGCGTGCACTATATCGCTCTGTATTGCCGCAAAACTATGTTAACACTTAGCTTAGCCCATGCATTAAATATGGGCCAAGCAGAGAAGCGACCAAACACTTCCACGTTTTCCCTATGTAAACACAGTTACTCGAGTAGTGTAACTTGACCTGGGCTGGTGACACAAAATAAACCGTTGCGCTTTTCTAAGCGTTTAAAATTGATGACTATATTGTATGGCGGAATACCATAACAAGTGCTTTTGAGCACTTCGACTTGGCGCAATAATATCTTCACTCGTGAAAAGTCCCCTTACCGGCTCCCGCTTCCTCTCCCCCTCCCTCTGACATTTCCGTCAATACAACCAACGTGACTTTTACTACCTGTGCTATTAGCAAACTGCAGATCATTTGCAATGGCGGACTTTGTAGATGATTATGACTTCTTTGTAGAAGACCCAGAGCCATTTCTGTTTGAACCCGAGTACACGGAGGAGGAATTAGCTCTTATGGACCGTGAGAGGCAAGAAAGATATGATCCAGAACAGACCGGAGCTGGCGAAAGACCACGGGCTTTTTGTAAGTGATCTGAATATTGTTGGTGTAGCCTCATCCTTTAGGCGTGTTCCTGTGCAGGTATAGTCCTCCTTTGTGAAATGTTCGGAGCAAACACGCCACTTCTTCAGAGTCATCAATGGTGTTTTGGGATTCTTGTTCAAAGCAGCTAACCTCTCCGCTGTATGTGGTGTGTTGGAATTCGGTGAAAAATGACAGCACTATGTACATTCTCCTTATTTTCACAACCCTTTACGATGCACGCTTTAACCATTATTGTACACAAACTAGCTTCCAACAACCTGTTACTTCGTCAACTCCGCTCGAACTACTACTAACGTTACCGGCGCATGTCACGTTGGTTGTATTGACGGAAATGTCAGAGGGAGGGGGAGAGGAAGCGGGAGCCGGTAAGGGGACTTTTCACGAGTGAAGATATTATTGCGCCAAGTCGATGTGCTCAAAAGCACTTGTTATGGTATTCCGCCATACAATATAGTCATCAATTTTAAACGCTAAGAAAAGTGCAACGGTTTATTTTGTGTCACCAGCCCAGGTCAAGTTACACTACTCGAGTAACTGTGTTTACATAGGGAAAACGTGGAAGTGTTTGGTCGCTTCTCTGCTTGGCCCATATTTAATGCATGGGCTAAGCTAAGTGCTAACATAGTTTTGCGGCAATACAGAGCGATATAGTGCACGCACTGAGACGAGAGAGGTATGTATCAACTCGTCTTAGTTAAGGGAATAACATAGTTTAATAAGAAAAACTGGTGGAGTATCCCTTTAATAGCAATCAAATGGAACAACATTTCCTGTACCAGTTGCTAATTGTGATCGTGTTTTATTTTAAATAGCCTGTATCATCATATCTTCTCTAAACCAATTTATGTATGACTATTCTGTTCTTTAAATATAATAGTAATTTAGTAGCAGCTTTATTTGTAAACTTAAAAATAATACACTTTTTAAAATATTTAACATTTAAATTTGAGTTACGTCACAAGTTACCAGATGTACTACATATATACAATATATATATATATAAGTAATTGTGAAATATGCTTACATTTATCAATGCATTTTAAAAATGCATTTTTGTCTCCATGTCTGTGTACAAAGTATGAACCATACTGTTCTTGCAAGTGTATGTGGGTAAATCACAGTCCTGTCACCAACACGCCATATGTCCTAGGCATCAGTGTATGCTGAGGGCTGTCAGAAGGGCTATTTAGAGGACTGGAGTCCACTCCTCCAATTGAGGGCAGGTAGGCAAGGTGCAGAATGGGTAACTGCAGAGAGAGCCTGCGCTGAATGCTGTGGAAGCAACACATCCATTAAATGAAGTGATTTTTCAGGAATAAAAAATATTGCAGAACTTTGCATTCAAATTCCAGTTTACTTTTAAAGGATTGATAGAGACATGAAACCCACTGTTCAGGGGAGTTGATGTCTTCCAGCAGATTCCTGTTGGATTTGGAGCTTTCGGGGAGAGTCAGACATTTCTCCTTTACTAAAAAGACATAACATTGAGATATTTTCATAAAAGGCAAACTTTTATAAAAAGAAATTCAACCCCTTTACAGAGCCACTGGGTATCAACTATCAGCTGGAGTTCAAAGCAATGTGCTGAATGATCCCTAAGAATTCACAAAATGGAAACCTTAAATAATAACCTAGGTAATAGAGTGAAATTGTTAAGTTTGATTATGTAAACACAGATAGTAGAATATATTTTATGTGATTGAAGTCAACTTATTTTCATGCAGGTTAATTTTTTGTTAGATAATAGAAGTTGATAACTTTTTAATACTTTTTAAAAAATCATGGGACACCAAAGTGTTCTGCATTTGTGTGCCTTAGGTGGCTTAAAGTGGTAATTCACCCAAAAATGAAAATTCTGTCAAAAGTTGCTGTATGAATTTCTTTCTTCTGCTGAACACAAAAGAAGATATTTTGAAGAATGTCTGTAACCAAACAATTGATGGGCCCCATTGAATCCATAGCATAGCATTTTTATACTATGAAAGTCAATGGTGTTGTTTTGTGTTCAGCAGAATGAAGAAATTCAAACAGGTTTGGAACACCTTGAGGGTGAGTAAATGATAATAAAATCTGAATTTTCCTTTTTGGTTGAACTATCCCTTTAAACCATCAGTCCATAAAGACTGTGTTTGCTGCATCTGCACACAGGTGCACTCGCTCAATACATTCTTCTATACCTGCTTTGTGCACAAAACCTCTGATGATGACATTCTCCATAACGCAAGGACTCAGTTCATTTAGTTGCCTGGTCAAATCCTCCAGCTCAGCATCCAGCTGTAGGAAATCACAATAAATTAAAACAACAACAACATACAAATGATTCTTAAAGGGGTCATATAATGCCATTTTTGTACAAGCTAATATGATTCTTTAGGGTCTAAATTAAAAGTTTGTAATATACTTTAATTAAAAATTCTCATTAGTATTGTAAGAAAACACTTATTTTACCTGGTCAAAAACAGCTCTGTTTTCAGCACGCCGTTTCAGTGCATATGACTTTAAATGATAATGAGCTTTGCTCACCCCGCCTCTCTGTGCTGCTGTGCATACACCATTTGTAACTCAATAACACAATAACCATAACGCGTTGTTCAGTATAAACGTGGGATTATGAATTATATTGAGAACGTCATACATAGAAAACATGCCGTAATGTACCCTGTGTGTAAACCTTAGACGCATTCATTGTGAAGCGTGCAGCTAGCGATTTGCAAAGATTAATATATTATTATAAAGTTTAATAAAACGTTACACTCACTTCCGTTCTTCTGGAGATTCAGCAGGAACACGAATATCTGGTACCGATCCTTTTTTCATGAGCAGCTTCTTAGCAAATCCAGCTTTATACTGATCCTCGTTTATAAAGCAGTCTGGTGAGAAATGATTCGCGCAAACATGAGAGCATTGACGTTGCTCGTGGGGAATATTCCCTTCGAAAACAAACTCAGCCACTTCAGCGGTTCGGATTTAGGAACATTAAAATGACTCCTGTGTTCGTTATTACACCCAAGAACCGAACACCACAATCGCTTAGACGCCATTCTGCTCATAGACAGTGCTCCAGGCAGCATATCAACAATGACCGCGCCGGTCCGCGCCGCGCAGAATATGATTGACAGCTCCCTCATGAGCGAGGGCGGGTCTGTGTTGAAACGCTCCTGTCAATCAACAATCGTGGGAGGGGCGTGCGATCTTGTGACGTCACAAGCTCGAACGGCTCGATTTGAGGCAGGGGAAAACATATAAGGAGATTAAAACAAAACCACTGGATGGATTTTTATCATTATATGATGGTTGTGTACAGACACTGCCAACACACATTTCAGTACAATCAACTTGTAAAAGTGCATGTACCATTATATGACCCCTTTAAGGCACTTCATCCATCCCAAAACTACTGACTGAACATGTCCTAACACGTCCTCTACATATAGTTGTACTTGAGAACCTCCTGGGTTTGTCACCCCTCCTTGATTGTGTTATTGCTTTCTGGAGAAAAACTGTAACAATGCACTATATGAAAGTTATTGTAAGTGCTGTGACCACCAGAGGTAAAACTGTGAGTAATTCTAATTATTTTGCTTATTTTTATTAGATTCTTGTCTGGTTTGTCTAATTTTACCACTTTTGGATACTTATACAAGTTTGTTTGGTTGGATTGACATTTACAGTAATACTCACTGATTTTGCCTTCTCTTCATAGTTATAAAGCAAGCATCTGCAAAGTAAATAAATGTAAATACAAAAAGCTTCTCACTTCATTAATGTGCCGTCTGAGGTGTAGGTTTTCTGACAGTACAATGTCCAGGCTTAGCGAGATGTTCTGCGTCACGTCAGTCACAAAGTCAGATGCTCCTGTGTCGTCCTGCTCCAAAATGTTCCTCGCATCATTGTCTTGTCCACTCTCCTTTTGTAATTCGCTATGCCACTGTGTGAGGTGGAACCGCCTTGACAAGAATGCAGGATCAGGACCCATCCTTATGATGATAATCTGTAAAATATATATGGGTATCAACTATCAGCTGGAGTTCAAAACACTGTGACAAATGACAATTGATCAAATAAAAATCATATAAATGATTAAAAATGAGAATTGCAGCTAATATGCATCTCATACCTTTGGAAGAAACACCATACACAGAGTGCTGCAGCAGCATGTGATGATCACAAGGGATACAATGCAGAACTGCACATTTGGCTGATCCTGCCATAGCATTGATGCATATGTACCAATCAGAATCACTGGGACTGACACAAAGACACTGAATCGGATACCCCTGCTGTCATTTATGGCAGGGATGTTCATGTGTCGTGTGGTCCAGGCCAGGAAACAGGTACTCAGCTGGATAGGAGACAGAGACATGTACTTTTGTCATCTGTTTCATTATAGCTATCTAATGAATCACTGTATGACATGTTTTTAATCTAATCTCATACCAGGAGTATCCCCTCATAAACATAGAATGCAGCCATCCAGAAACCCATGTATGTGTTTTCACATCGCTCTGAAAAGGGCTGAATGAAAAAATCTTGCCCGTGAGGGTCAGCCTAAAACAAAAAGAGAAAAAGACTGATAAGCATGAAAATTTAAAGGTAAAAAAAAAAAAAAAACATGATAACAGATCATGTGTTTTTTTGTGTTCCAAAAAAAAAAAGAAAGAACGTCATATGTGTTTGGATTAAATTATGATAGATTTTCATTTTTGGGTGAACTATTTCTTTGAGAAAGCTTGTATTGCTTTAAAGTGACAATGAAATAATATTTTACGGAATATTGCAATATTTATCATAAATTGTTTATCCGTGCACATCATTATTTTTTATAACTTTAATCAAAACAACTTCTCCACCTCTTGGTGGGACAAACAGTCACTCAAATGAGATCACAGCAATAGCAAACCATAACCATCCAATAAATTCCTGATGGATGAAATCAAGTCCCGCCCTACATTTTTTTCTTGTTCAAGAAGCCGTTTCACTCATATATAGGTCACAATAGGGAAGAAAAGACTACCGCAACTTCAATCTCATGCCGGCTTTAAGTGTGTCCAAATGTTCTTGGCAGGTTTGGAAAATTAGGTTCTGCTTAGTGCTCACCTCTATACGATATTCCTTTACTGTTCTCCTCAAGGGATCCAAAATTTGCAGACAAATTAATAAGCTCAGGTCAATCAACAAAAGCAACAAAACCAGGAGTCCTAGCCCATAGTCCTTTGTGGTCTGGGGTAGCTAATAAAAAAATAAAAATAAAGACTGACAGGAAGAACACACTGTAACCCTTAATAATTTAAATAAATTATTTTCAAACAATATATAGCCATTATTTTTATATAGTAAGCACAAACAGTAAATCTTTCTTACCTTTTTTTCCATGCTGTGTTTTTTGAAGAATGAATGAATTTTCCAAGTTTTTACAAACATGGCCCCAAACGATGCTGTACATCCAGTAGATAGACATGATATTTGTACCTGTGAATGATGCCACAGATCCTTATTATGTAGAATATTTTGTATTTAGACACATATAAACCCACAGCAGATTTCATTATTATGACTTCTAATTATGCCTCCATAAAAAGTGCTAACCAAAAAACAACTGTAACAATATTCTGATGCCATAAGGACTTACAGAGCAAGAAACTTCAAATACTCTATCAGAAACATAAGACCCATCCAATCCTATGAAGAATATGGAGGAATAAGACAACACAGCGCCAAGAATAATTAAAGTGTTCAGAAAAGGTCTTGACATGCTGATGGCCCTGTGAAAGACAAAAGAATATAATACAGACGTATAACCATAGTTTCAAAGAAATGCTTTTAGTACTGTTGAATTAATGAACGAATACACATTCATGATCATTAACCTAACACATGACTTACCAATGATTGTGGTGTTTCACACTGAAGACTAGGAGACTGCAAGCTGTAAAAATTCCTAAGAAAGTTAGAAACGCCACAACACCATAAAGTAATATACTGATGCGTTTTCTCTGAGGGTATACATGGGTTCGGTCCTTTGTGGGTTTATCCCCTGTAGAAGACAAATGCATGTGCTTTATTTCAGGACAGTTATTTATAATATCACCGAAATTTCATCAACAACTTTTCAGCATGTAAGTGAGATACATACAAATATCTGTATACACAACATCAAACTCCATATTTTCTTTTTCATAGTCTTACTTTGAAATCGGATTGGACTGATGAACTCTAGTTCATCTGTAACGGCACTATATTGTTCAATATCGACAGCTTTTCCATCTATGGAGTAAGAAAAATCTGCTGTCAAGAATAATAAAAAGACAATGTGAAGAAAGCTATGCAGCCTCAAACAAATTGATCTGTACCTTGATATTGTGCAAACTTCACACTGGCCAGTCTCTCACCTTTTTGGAACATAATGTGACCCTGAATAACAATAACATAAAAATTCAACGATAGATGGATGGATGGATGGATGGATGGATGGATGGATGGATGGATGGATGGATGGATGGATGGATGGATGGATGGATGGATGGATGGATGGATGGATGGATGGATGGATGGATGGATGGATGGATGGATGGATGGATGGATGGATGGATGGATGGATGGATGGATGGATGGATGGATGGATGGATGGATGGATGGATGGATGGATGGATGGATGGATGGATGGATGGATGGATGGATGGATGGATGGATGGATGGATGGATGGATGGATGGATGGATGGATGGATGGATGGATGGATGGATGGATGGATGGATGGATGGATGGATGGATGGATGGATGGATGGATGGATGGATGGATGGATGGATGGATGGATAGATAGATAGATAGAATTTTGAAACGTTGTACACACTGTCACACCAAAGAAGTTGATCTTGTCCATGGCCTCCAGAATCATTTGTTCCACTTCTTGGTCAGTGACAGTAAAGTTGCGATGGATGCTGTAATTCTCTCTGTACCTCACAGTCTCCATGACTCTTGTTAAAACTTTGGCAATTACCCATGTACCATCATAAGCAAAACCATGAAACTTGCTTGCACCCAGACCCTTCAGCCGTCTTCTTTCATCATACTCCTTCTCGTACTCCTGAGGTGTCTGAGTAGAATCAGTATAGATATGAAAAACAAGCAAAACAATCCCTATAAAACAATGTTTACAACAACTGCTCATTGCCTCAAACAAAGATGATGATAGCAGTTAAATGCAAACCTACCCTACCAGAGATCCCTCTGATGTGTCTGGAGCTAAGAGTCTCGATATCTGCACTGATGGATCCCTCTATGGCAGTCAGTATGTTTTTAGCTGTGCAGTTGGTGGAGTCAGTGTTAGTCCACCAGCTGCCTTGGGTCCAGTCTGGCAGAATCCACTGGTACTTTTGGCCATACATGCTGAGATTATAAACCTGTGACACAATGGTATGTTTATGTATAAATCTAATTCTGACTGGTCAGTCGTGGAATTCAGCAGTCAGAGATTTCCTATTTGACATCATTCATGGCAGAACACTGTATCTGCTCATATACAGTATCGGCTACTTCACATGGTGATTGAGAAGATAAAAAAGTCAGGAAAGTGAAGAGAGGTACAAGAAAAGAGAGGTAATATTGATGGTATTATTGAATCCAGGGGATGGGTCTCTGATGACATTAGCAAATTGGCTGTTGAGTTGTAGGGGGCATAACTTGTGGTAATACGCGTAATGAGAAGCGTGGTTTGTAGTACTGCAGGACACAGTTGGATACATTGCTAGTGTTGGTATCTTGCTCTCGCTTCATACAAGCGCAACTTTCCATCTTGCTTCTAACTTACCTATCAATTGTAATGAAAATTACCTCAGAGGACTGCAGTATTCATTTTACAGTTGCTTTGTTTGTCTTGTTTCTATAGGCTGATTCATTGGGAATTACGATGGACTTTTTTTCAGTCCAACAGAAGCTTTCTTTTCTTTGGCAGTTAATTACTTGCTTTAAATTTTGACGGACTAATGTGTAGATGAGTTTCCCTTTTCGGCATGATTATGGTTAATGTCCCCATCAACCTCTGTAGTCCCATTTAGCCACTTGTCAGCTTACGCCTTTTTACATTTTAAGATAAAAATAAAAGCTTTTAAAAATTCACAAGGGGTATTACTGATGTATTTTATGCAGTAGAATTAAATGTGAAAATATTTTGAGCTTGTGTTACCACAGTCTTTATTTCAGACATTTATGACTACAGGACGATGGAAATAAGAAGTCATTTTTGGGTTTTGGCCTACATAAAATATGTCATCCTTGCAGCACTATAAAATTTAAAGACCTGGGGGCGCATTACAGAAGGATCCTAACTTTAGAATCCTATCTTATCTGTTTGTTAACCATTAGCAATTTCAGTTAGGACCTCATTTAGGACAAAAGCTATAACAAAATGACATTTCTTAAGTGCATGATCTTATCTTAACTACAGATAGGAAAAGGGTATTGCAGAAGCATCCTAACTCCACAAAAAAATCCTAAAAACTGTCTTAACTTTAGGACAATCCCATGGTGTCCTAACTTCAAAATTATTTGAAAGCCAACTGTAAAAATCACATAATAATAGCCCTGTCTGAGAATGACGTCACATTTATTAATGATACAAGATGAAGAACAGCGATGTTTGATGGTGGAAAGACTGTGAACACCCAAATGATGTGCTGCACTTTGATGACAAAACTCTGACAAATAATTACAGACTCCTATGAAATAAAAGGATTAGGCTTTGCCTTTTCTACCAAGCTTATCAACACTTCACTTAATGAAAAGCACCACTTATTTTGTTTTTCACCATTCTTGAGCACCATTTTCCAGTTTTTCCATTTTACTACACAGTAGCTGTTTGCGTGTCGTTGGTTGCTTGGTAACAGGCCTGAGAGTTGATTACCGAATTTGATGGAAGGGTTTCAGATTTCCTAACTACAGATAAAATGAGATTTTGTAAGATAGGATAAGAATCCTAAATCAACTTAAGATTTGCTTCTGTAATACGAATTTGTGAAAAATCCTAATTTAACTTAAAGGGTCACTTCACCCATTTCAACATTAATCTTTATTGAAAGTGGGTCATATATGTAGTCGAAATGTAAAAGAAATTTTGAATTTGATGCCCTCTTGACCGAGAAAAGACAGAAAATAACTTTAGTGCGCATTTGTATGCAAGACAACAACTCCCACAATGCACCACATTGCACAGCTCCGCAAGCCACTCCCACTAATCCAGAACAGCGCAAACATCAGAGAAATCACTTTTCCGTCTACAAGGCTAACGTTAGCTGCCACCAGAGTTAGAAATTCATTTCACACAAAATTTCTAGTTAGTTGGCTGTGGCGAGCAGGACGAGGGCGAGGGATGTGATAGGACAGCGCGAGGCCGCTGGCGCGAGTGATAATGAACGACACCTGTGAGACGCGCCGGACCGGTCTCTCTCGCGTCTCTCACCGAGGAGCGGACGCATAAAACGAGGAGCGACGACAGGGCAGTTTGAGAGAGGAACAGGCCTGATTTTATGTTGTGTTTTGTTTCTGTTGTGTGTGGCCAGCAGTGAGGGGCTGCTCGCTTATATTTTTGTTTTGTATTTGTTTATTTTACTATTAAAATGTTTAAATGTTTGCCGGTTCCCGCCTCATTCTTCCCACAACAACGAACCCCGTTACATTGGCAAACTCATTAGTGAATTACTCCTCGTTTGTATTTCTTTCTATATGGTGAATTATTGCATGATGATGATAAAGTTACCTGGATGTTCAGTCAGAACATATGCGGTGCGAAACTTGGATGGATCACAACACAAACGTCCGTGTGCTCGTCTGATTCAGAGATTTCGTCCAGGAGATATTGCGATCGTTGAAATTCAAATTCTCTGCAGCAGACGGACTCTATCTGTGTCCGTAGCGCACAGCGAGAGCCGAGAGCACAGGCACCAGCAGTCCGCCCAGCTCGAGCCAGTCCGGGCTTCTCGTCTGCGCCGGGCTGGTCTCCTGCCGCAGCCGACGCCGCGTATAAATAGCCACGAACATCAGTTTCGAGCAAAAGATTTTCAAAATCCTCGTCTTCCATATCGTGTGTCGTAAATTCAGGCATTATGGTAAATCTAACTCCTTGAGCGCTTGTTAGCTTAGCTTGCTGTCTTCCAAGCAAGATGGCGGATTAATAGTTTAGTTTCTTCAGGTTTAGTCCCACCCACTGATCTGTAATAGGCCGGTGGGGTGAGTGGGTCCCACGCCCTTGAATAATAATGAGCTAAAGGCTGTAGTTTTCTTAATATGCAATGAAATTTATCTTCCGTCCTATCGTGACGCAAAATGACGATATTTACGTCACGATAGGACGGAAGTAAAACACTTAAATCCTTTTTTCTCCCATCTCAGAAAAAAAACAAGCAAAATTCCACCATCATTATAATATATGACTGGGTTTCTAACAATACAAACCTTAATGCAAATGGGTGAAGTGACCCTTTAAGAATTAAGATAGAAAGTTTCTGTAATACGACCCCTGAACTATAAAGAAGTGTTTTTGTGTGATTGAAGCATTCCATGGATGCTAAAGGTTCTTCATGGAACCATCAATGCCTCAAAAACCAAAGAATCCTGTATTCAAGAATGTATGGCTGGGATATACTTACACAGCAGAAGACTTTAGCAGCTAAGCTCACATCAAAATGAGCAATCACTATTCTCACATCATTGTCCTGTAAAGAAAAAGCTTTATAAATGTCTACAGATAAATATACATTATGGAATGTGATTTGTGCAACTCTTTAGTGATGCACCCAATACAGATAAGTCTTGAGAAAAGTTCATAGTTGATTTACAGAATGTGTGTGAGGAAACCAGACCCTCAAATACACACCTTTAGTTTTTTCACACAATCGCAGGGGACTTCAGAGAAGCTCTCCGCCTCAGCTAGCTTGATGTTAGCCACCTCCAGATGCCTGCTTAAGTCTCTCTGTACCTTTTCGAGAGAATACGAGTTTTCAGTTCACCTTCTATCAAGCCCCATATGTTTAATATTTTCCCAGATTAGTAAGTAGTATTACCTCTGTGAACTTCTGCTCACGCTGGGTCAATGTACCAACTCTACTCCATCCATACTGCCTGAGAAACCTCACCAGTGCCACATTAACTGCGCTGTCTGATGGCACAGTCTGGAAGAAGTTTGGAAATCTTCTTTTGTTGCCCAGTGAAGGTGCCGTTACCGCAAATGACAGCTGGGAAACAAAGAAATAATTGTACAAATTTAAATAAAACACCAACGTCTCTCAAGTATTTGAGTTTACCATTACAAATACCATGGAAGTGGGGATAATCAGTCAGATAATCAGATTGATTGATTGAATACCTGCACAAGGTTGAAACCCTCCAGTGATTGGGCTAGGATGGACGTCACTGACAAACACACCCCTCCAAAGATCATGATAGGTTTGGGGCCATTGAATATGGTGTCAAAAAATGCTTTGAGTGCTTTGCCGTTATCACACTAAAAGCAGAAAGAGTACAAGTGTAATACAAGCACAGTCAAGATGATAAGCAAAATGTAGGTTTATTTTTTTACACATTTGAACCAGGCTGATTTATAGTACTGAGCGGTCAGAGGAAAGGCTAGTGGTATCATGTGATTACCATGTACAATGGGGCTGGGCTGGCTGCAAATTTGGATGTCTTTTACCTTGCTTATCCCATTATTAAAGCAAAAATTGTATCAGTATATACATGTCGTTAGATAACTAGAAAGGTTTTTTTTTTTTTGCTGGGAATGCAGCAGAAAATGCACCGATAATCATATTTGGTTTGGAATATATGGTTTCTACGATTTAACCAGCTTGCACAATAGTACAACATGCAACGGCAGTCATCTGGTGATCTATGGTAAGGATCATGGCAGATTAGTAGTGTATGTGATTTTCACTGTACCTTAGAAGCAAAGATAATTAACAAAAATACAAATAAAATAAAAATACAGAGACACTTTTAATTTAAGTCAAGTAATTTCTTACATTTTCAAAGTTCATTTTTACATTTTTATTAACAGTGGCATTAGCTTTAGCAACACATGCTATTTGCAGGACAATAAAAATAATTTAAAGACAGACTCCCAACTCTAATTGTAGCAGAAATTAATAATGTCTATATTTATTTTTAAATGAACTGATGAATGAGATGAAATGTTGTCAGAGAGAATTTAAAGAGTTTGCCCAAGCATGACAATTCTGTCATCATTTACCCACCCTCATGTAATTCCAAATAAGACTTCCTTTCTTCTGTGAAACACAAAAGAAGATAGGCTTGTAAAGATGATGTTTTTCATGCAATAAAAGTCGGTGGGTTATTTTGGACCCCATTCATTTTCAATTGTATGGATAAAAAACAAAAACAAAGACATTTTCAAAAATATATCTGTTAGATATTTTAAATTTAAAAGATAAAGACTTTATAGATAGAAAGTCAGTTTTGGTTTGGAACGACAATAGGCCTAGCTAATGACGTCAGAATTGTAATTTTTGAGTCAACTATCCTTTTAACATTTGAGAGTTCATTAGTAGTTTCTGAGCTTCTTTTTGCTTCACCATCAAAATCAAATGAGAAAAAGAAGCGGGTATGTTGTATTACCTCCGAGTCTGTGAGGTGAAACTGAAGCTCATAGTTGCCAAGAGGAGACGGCTGCTCGCTCAAATGACTCAATGCTAGTTCAACAGCAGGAAGAACCTCTGCTGTAATGTTGCCCCTCGCTGGATCTCCGCTGACTGGCATAATCCATAAAACTGGTAGCTTGTGTCGCACCAGGCAATAGCACAATGGCACCTGAGTCAGTTCCCAGAAAGTGAGAACATTCAACAATTTCCACCAGTATTCCATCCTCTCAGTAAACATGAACTCACGCAGCTTCTTAGCATTTTCTAAAGCCTCGTCTGTTGTCTCTCTATAGCTCTCAACCATCCACAGGGATAAAGGGATAAGGACTGACTTTGGACATCTGTTGCTACACTAAATCCTCAGAAAGAGGAGGAAACACCAACACACAAGTCTCAGGACACACAGGTTTCTCCTAATGCCCACTACGGCTGTTTGGACCTTTTTATGTGAAACATAGTTTTCACTATTTTTTTTTTTTAAAGTGTTAGTAATTTTTTTTGTGTGTTTTTATCAATCCCCATCGTCTCGAGCACAGAATATGTTTTCAGTGACTGGCTGAATTGCACTTGTCAAGAGTATATTCCTGAACATGCTCATAATGTAAACGATTACGCATGGGGGTCGAGGGCCCCATATACATTCCAAACCCCGACATATTACCCATCGTGCCCTCCATTACAGGTTCATGTGTATTGTTTTGGCAGACACAGCAGACACCCTGATGTTTGGACCGAGTGGCACCTTGGCAAACATTTTGATCAGAGCAATGTCATTATCATAGCTGGCTTTTGAACCACCCAGATTCCTGAGATTCTGATAATTTGGGTGAAATATTATCTTCTCTGTCTTCATAGTAACTGGGTTTTGGTTCTGAACATCAATTATTCCCCCTACCCAAGTTATGTTGGTGTTTTCATTTGCATCCTCTAAATGAGCAGCTGTTAGAGCCCAGTAATCACTGATCAGAGATGCACCTATTCCCTTATATAGCATGTCATGTATGAGCTGCCAGGGAATCTGCCCCAGGCTGGCTGGCGTCCCACCAAAGACTCTGGCAACAAAAGAGACCTCTGTATTCATCCCACACACTAAAACATAAAAAGGAAACAATTATATGAAAATATGTGTAATGTAAAATTAAGTTAAAAAACAATAGTACAAAATAATATAAACCCTCTCGGTAACACTTTACTTGAAGGGGTGTGCATAAGACGGACATGACACCTTCATAATCATGACATGACACATCATGAATATGAAAGAGGTTTTATGCATGTTTATGACAGCGTCATTCGCTCAATTATGAAATTTTTAATGCAAATATGAGATTTTTTGAGATGTCTTTGTTATGACACCTTGACATAAACCAATAGGCCCTACATCATAACCTGTCAGTATCTTTGTCATGACAATTTGACATCTAATTTCCGATTTAGTTTACATTCCATTCCAGCAGTTGTAAAACTCCTCGCTACATTACAATTATTGGCATCAGGATAATTTCAAACAGTAGCATCAGCAGTGGGAATATCGTAGTCTGCACTCAGCCGTATCATAGGCTTGTTTGAGATGCGCCTTGCCTCGCCTGAAATGTAGTCGAGAGTAGGCAGCTGCAGTGAGAGGAGGAGTGAAAAAAGCGCAGGCAAGCCGGACAGTTCTCTCTTCTCGCAGTGGATCTGACACCTGCGAGATCAAAGATGGATATCGTGGGATTCACGCTCGTGCACGGTGTTGCTAATAAACTGGATGTCATTTAAAGTAACACCAGGGAACTTTTGCTCTCGGGGTGGGGTCCCCCTACAGTTGGGAAACAGTATTGTCCTCTAGACCTCTACTACTGTCGTAAACTCTGTCATTCTACATGCACGTGCAATTGTTGACAACCATGATAGCCCTGAACACTGTAGGAGGAGGTCACATGCAGGTGTTCTGCTTGCGTCGCGTGTGAAATGTCTTCATCCCAGGTACAGTGGCATATATTTCAGCATGTCATATAAATATAATTTCATGGGTTTTATTTTTTTTCTAACGACAAATGATCGCGATGATCACGTTTACAAGCCAGCGTCATTATAGTAGCCTAGTCTATTGGCTACCGTTTTACTGAATCTATATGATACTTCAATGCAATGTTTGAGTGGTTGATAATAACCATATATCGTCAATATTATAATATCAAGCTACCATAAATGAATCTGCAAATTTTACAAATCGATTTGCATTATAGCTTGAGGCAAGACAAATAAACAAATATCACAGACATGTTAGGTATCCTAAAATATGATTTTGTACATCTTATATTTACTTGCAACAATGTAGCCCCTACCAAACTTGTGCACGCCGTTTAGACACAGGCTTTCATTTCATTTGATTTTTTTTTTTTTTTTGCCAAGTCTGCATCGGTCGGGCACCCCTCCTCCTCCTTCAGCTCACGCCAGCGAGAAAATGCTGGCCCAATGTTGATCCTCGTTCTGCCTTTAACGCGATCACTTTCTCTTTTTCGCTTTGCTCCGATAAAACCTTTGCTTTCTTGTTTTTCTGTGCTGCTTCGGCCATGACTATAACATTTGGCTCGCACGTCCGATTTTAAGGAAGTGGGGGTGGTGGTGGAAGTGACGTATATGCCGTAAAGCAGTCGAATTTTGTAGTTCTCTTTGTTCGCCGGTTACTACCATAGACATAATAAATACATAAGACGCCCTATTGGCCGCTTTGGAACGTTGCTGCGATACGTCAACGGGTCCGCCATTTTGCGGAGGGCAAGACTGCACTGTAATCAAATGTAAGTAAACGGGTGAGCTGCGTTTTTTCTGGATAAAAACAAACTGTTTTTACATTTATCAACCGATTTCAGTGGTTTGTATGTGGTGTACAAAAAGTTCCATCTCTAGTTATTTAAAATCTCGATAGTTAGACTTGTAAAAAAAAAAAATTTAATAAAGAATGGTCAAAGCTCAGGCTTGTCATGTATTTGGCTTTTTATTCTTGGATAAGAATGGTGAAGACCCCCATACTGAGATATAAGTTTTCTTATTGTGGAAAAAGTGTGATTTTCTGTGATTGACCAGATTTTAGCAATAACAAAGATAACTGATGGATCCTTTATGATAATATGTCACACAGGTCACACCGAGGAATGCTCGGATGACCAACCGCCCCCCCCCCCCACTGAGTCACCACCGTGGGGAGCCGACACCACAGGCACACAACAGAGGACTACGGAGACACAGGTACGTTTCAAAGGAGGAACAATCTTTATTGAACGATAAAACAAGGGGCATCAATTGGATAGCCTTCACTGTCCTCTAGATATCCTTCTGTCACGGGCGGGCGTGTTGCAACTGTCACGGTGTCCCCTGGGCGGCAATTTGGGGACTCCGTTCACAGGGGGGCGAGCCAGCGAATCACTAGACGGCTTCACCAGCGATGCTGCATGCTTCTGGACTCAAACAGTAAGTAGAACAGGTAAGGATATTCACAGTACCGAGAACTCTCATCGGCACACCGTAATGGAACAATGGTTTGAAAGCTTACTTTTTCCCAGCAGTGCTGCCGACTTCCGAACTCGGGCAATAAGTGTAGCAGGTAAGGACTCTTCACAGCGCACGGTACTCTTCGGTCCACAGGAGGAAGACAGTGAGTTAAAGGTTTGCTTCGCCCATGATGCTGCGTCCTTCTGGACTCAAACGGTAAGTAGAACAGGTGAGGATCTTCACAATACAATATACTCTCTTCAATGTACAGCAGGAAGACAATGGATTAAACAGGGTACTTTACCAGTGATGCTGTATACCTCTGGACTCGGACAGTAAGTAGAACAGGTAAGGCTCCTCACAGTACACAGTACTCTCTTCAGCTCGCAGTAAGGAGACAGTGCATTAAAAGGTTGCTTCCCAAATGATGCAGTGTACTTCTGGACTCAACAGTAAGTAGAGCAGGTAAGGATCTTCGCAGTACAACGTACTCTCTTCGGTACACAGCAGGAAGACAATGAATTAAAATGGTACGTTACCAGTGATGCTGTAGGCTTCTGGGCTCAAACAGTAAGTAGAACGGGTAAAAATCTTCACAGTACAATGTACTCTCTTCAGTGCACAGTAAGGAGACAATGGGTTAAAAAGGGTACGTTACCAGTGATGCTGCATGCCTCTGAACTCAACAGTAAGTGGAACAGGTAAGGATCTGCACAGTGCTCTCTTCAATTCACAGTAAGGAGACAGTGGGTTAAAAGATCGTTTCTCCAGTGATGCAGTAGGTTTCTGGGCTCAAAACAGTAAATAACAATTAAGGACCTTCACAGTACAGAGTACCCTCTTCAGTGCAGCTGTATCACACTGGACTTCCAATGGGGAGCAGATATAGTAACTTTCCACAAACGTGTAAATGGGGCTAGGGCCACTTCTCAGCAAAGGCACAGCACACTTGTGTTCACTTCAATTCCACAGCCACAAATCAATGTGTATCAATAAGGCAAAAGCACTGCAATTCACTCACACATTAAGGCTGGTCAGAGGCCCCACTCCGTTTGTTGCGCTCGCTCCACGAGGGATTTCTCTCTCAATTCCTCCTCAACACACTCTGAAACACATAGCTCTTCCGACAATCAGATCCACATTTACTGCATCCTCTTGCAGCAATTTGAACGCTCATAAGATTAAATCAGTTCACTTATCTCTTCTCTCTCCTTCCACAGCACCAATCCAGACGATAGCTCAGTTCAGCAGACTTCCCACGAACGATCACTCTGATCCAGCAAACTCAACTGGGCGATCTCCACACCACAACGGTTTTCCTGAGGAAGCTTGTATCCAACTCTGCTCCAAGTCAACCCTTTAGGCTCTTCAACACTTCCAACTCACTGAGCAACGCGGACCCACTGAACAACGAGAACCCACTGAACATCAACGACCAACACTCTCTGAATGGTCCCTTTTTATCCTGGCTTGCGTAACAGGAAGCCTGTGTGAGTGCCGCTTCTCTCTCTCTCACACCTGCAATGCATTAGCGCTAATCAGTGCGGGCATGTTTACATCACCGGAGTGGGGCGTGTTGCACACAATACCTTCCCCTGGGAAACTTAGGACTCTCAAGGGGGTTCCGCTTGCCGAGCGATTTTGTCACCCGTGACAAATACATATGTTATGGTAGTGCAATACAAATAGTAAATATAACATAAAGTGAGAAGTAATAGTAAATAGTCAATAAAATAAACAAATAGTATACAGCAAATAAAATAGTAATGAATAGTATAATTATATAATATCACAAGTACAATAATACAATCATAAAAATATTGATAAAAGCATATCGTTTATTAATAATACTATAGCAATAGAATAAGCATAGCAATATTCAATTACAGAATATACACAATAAAAAAATAAGTTAAATAGTGACTTTAATATTTAACTCTTATTTGTTAAATTTCAGTATTATTGATCATTAATAGCCATTATAACAGAAGTAGCTT